ATATAGCTATAAAATGATATTAAATTCATCAAATTTGCAGTCTCGGTAGCGTTACTTTCTTGTATATTCCTTTAGAAATTTTCCCACCTCTTCCTGTTTATAACAATCGATAGACTTCTTGGTTCTTGTTTGATTGTGGTTTATCTCCCTTATCAATTCTTTTATGCCGAGAACTGCTTACTACATCAGAGGATGTGAAGAAAACATCTTAAAATTCTTGAATGACACGTTCGGCTGCACTCTTCTCTATATGACATAGATGGGAATTCCGCAATAACTCCGATGCCATATGCCGAGTGATAGAAGGCGTTACTTCCAAACGTGATGTTTAACGTTTATTTTTCCTTCGATGTCGATTTTATCACCGGACACAGTCTAGAGAGTATCCGGATGAGTTAACCTTCCAATTGTTGAACCAAATCTTTTCGGATAATGGTGATATCGGCTTCTGTACTGATGATCATATTGAGAGAAATTCCATTTATATATCTCATGATGAAGAGTTCGTTAATGCTGCCATTCACTGCAGAAACCTGAAGCGATTTAAAAGAGAGCGTCTCAGTATCCGACGATTTCCACTCCGCGAGATGGCCACTAATGTGTTCCCGGTCTCCTTGCTGGAGAGCGGTTTTACTTTCCGTGCCTTGAGGTGTTCTCTAGTTTCTTCGTAACTGGCCTTCACCACGCAGTTCCAGCACTTTATGGTCGGTTTGTTACTTCTCCTATTCTGCCTCAAGGCATTGATTTCCGTGGTCAAATTGTTTAGACAAGCAGAACTAATAGATGAACTAGTTAAAAACAAACATAATTTAATAATACTCAGCAACAAACTTTTATTATTAAATTCAAAATATTTTAGGTCTAATTTAGATGAACTAAACACCCAAAATGTAATATAAATAGATACGAAGAAGTTAAACTTTTTTTCTGGAACTGCATATGCCAAAATATCGTGGGCCTTCTTCGGCAAATTTTCGAAGACATTTTTTTTTAGATGCCTGAATCTTTTATAAAATGTATAACATTTTTCATTTTGTAAGGTGTAAAAAAAATCCCTAATTTTATATGCTTTCAGGTGGGGGGGGAATGTTTATTCTCCTGAACCCTTTACAAAATATATATTATTTAAATTTTTTAATCTCATATGGTATATTTAGTTGATGGACCATTTCGTTCCTTCGAATATAGATTGAAATACACTTAAATCTAATGGAGTGTTTGAAAATTTTGGTTATATCGGAAAGACCTGATTCTTTTACAAAATATGTATTTTAATTTTTAATGTCATCTGATTTTTTTTATTTTTTCAGTTTAAAAAATGTTTTAAAACTCACCCTGTTTTTATAACCATTTTAATCTTTTTCCGTTTTTTGCAACCTTTATTACATTAAAATGAACCATAATTTGGTATAAAATTTTGATGGTAGTGAAATGTTTATAATGAGCAGCATATGTACACTATAAAAAACATGACGTATTCATCAATTTGCTGATTAAAAATCATCGTTATTGATAAATATTTTATGTGTCTTAAAGTGTATGAATATGCTGCTGAAATAACCTCGATAAGCTAACTTTTGTTTTTATGAACAACGATATAAATGAACTGTTTCCTGTAGTTTTACTTGTACTTAAAAAAACGTAGAACTGCGTTTGTGACCAAACACTTGTTCATGCATAGCTGGTTCAAAGAATAAACTTCTGTCGAAAGGGGGGAAAGTGGCCGGACACGGTGAATAAAACACTAATAGGCTGGAACAATCACCTGAGGTAAGTTTGCATTCAGAAAAGAGTTCCAAATAGGGTTTTCATAAAGCTAGACAGCCTAACAAAATAACAGAAATTCACGAATGTTTTTTTGGGAAGCACAAAAACGAAGTTGTTGTGTAGCGAATTTAATTTAATTAAGGAATTCATAAAAATCAAAATTTTAATTTGTAATTATTCAAAATTTGAGCTACACAAGTTTGGTTATATTCTTTTTTGGCCTATTAATTCTAGTGTAATATATTTTGGCTTTCCGAGTTTACGCGAACTGCGTCGTCAATCTCGTACACGCAAACAATGGATAGGTGAGTTTTTTCACGTAATAAACTCAGTTTTTCATGTTAAAAATTAATTTGATTTCTTAGTATTTTTTAATATCATTAGTTGCAGAAAAATTAGCTCTTTAATTTGACATAACTTTCGTTTTTTCTAACTTTAATTTCATTTCAGTTATGAGCTTTAATTGGTAAATTTTTCTTCGTTTGCTTTGATTTAGTTAAAGAGGGATGAAATGCCCTCTTTCCGGTTGAAAAGTCACTTTTTTGCGAGTTTTCAGCATTTCCGTCTTTCGTTGGGGACCCCCTTGCAGGGTTGTTGAAATTCCTAATTTTTCCCGTCACAGGTGGTGTTTATTTGGCGAGGGTTTGGCGACATAGAATTTCCGTTGAGGTTTCAAAGTAGTGGATTTGGCGAGTTTGATAACATGAGGGTAGTTTGTTGTTGCAACTATTTTAACTTTCGGCGAAGAGTGGGTTGTGCCAACTTGGCAGTCCGGCGTCCTCCCTTTTAACGGGTTGTTTTGGGGAAAGAGCACACTTTTTGACACGTCTTCTGCTTTCTTTTGAATTCCTTTCGGTGCTGCGCGCATCGGCAGCAGATCACTTTTTTGCACTTTTGACTTACCATCGGACGCTGTACTCGCTGGCAGATGAATTTTTTTCGGAAGATGCATTTTTCCACCTTTGGATCTACGGGCTTCTTGCCCTTGAGTTTTGAACGAGGGACTTAGTTTTAAGCATCATGTCCTCGACTAAATTATAATCTCATCAGTTTTTTTTTTTTTTTTTTTTTTTTTTTTTTTTTTTTTTTTTTTTTTTTTTTTTTTTTTTGTGTTTGAATATTTAAGTTGCTCAAAAGATAATTAAAATAGAAAAATGCAACGAAAGGTGATGCCTGGTAATAGTGCCGTTAAGAAGAAAATTTCAGTTTCTCCTCCACGAAATAGAGTCTTCATCTGTCTCGATGTTAATTCCACGCCTTTAAGAATTATTTTCCGCTATGCAAGAATTTCCTTCTCCACGAATAGAGTCCTTCCTCTGTCTCGATGTTTCTTCCACGCCTTTAAGAATTATTTTCTCTATGCAAGAAATTCCTTCACTGCTAGCTCCGGGGTCGCTCCTACAACACGCTTAATTCATCCAGCAATAGAATGCACTTGGCTTGAGTCTACTCCTCGTTGCGTCTACGACCTGTGAGGATGGATTCGTCGATTCCTTTACTAACTGACGATTTCCTGATGTAACTTCGGAATTCTTCACTTTGCTGAACGACTACGTCAACTTCAATATTGGATTGTAAATCAACTATCATAAGGACTTGGAACCTCCATAGTTGCATCCTAAATCAACTAGAAACTTCTCGGCTTCATTGAAAATTCATCTACCATATGAACTCTTTCTCCTTTCCACCACGCTTGCCAGCCGTCCTCCTTGGCATCAATGATAATTTTTTTTAAATATGAGGGTTTTCTCTCCTCCTCCTATTCACTTGCCTGCCTGTGATTACTCCCAGATAAGTTTTTTTTTTTCTTTTATTTGTTAGTCTGATGTTAAAAAAAATTCTGCAGTTAATAGTGATTGAAATTCAACTTAATTAGTTTGAATTAAAATATTTGTAGTTGAGTAAATTAACCTAATTCTAATGAAATCATTTTTGTTTGTCCATAAAGTAAATTATTAGATTGGCTAAGGAAATATATCCTTATTTAAATTATTTAATTGAAACAGTGAATGTAACTTAGTTAGACTGGTTAAGGAAATAATAAGTTCTCTCATTAAATTATTTAATTGAACTTGTGAATTTCTTTCATGGTGAAGATTGATTGGTAAAGGTGTCCATTATTTGAGCTTCTTTGCTCCTCTTAGGGACTAAATTGCTTGTAGGATGTAATAGCCTGATTTTTTAATTAATATTTTACCCGGTTAAATCTTTCTTTTTAAAAATAGAAAATATTATGTGCAATAACTGAATTACTATTATGTTACTAAATGCAATAACCTGAATTACATTGGTATTGATTATTCTGTGTGAAATGTTTCTTTTTTTTTTTGGAAAGTGTAACTTGTTAATTATTCTTTTTTTTTCTCCCCGGGGAGGGTATTGTTAATTTATGTTTATGTTTAAGTTTTATCTGATTATGTTTACCTGAATGTAATAGAAATAATAGTTGATATTATAGAGTCTTAAGATAAAAGTAATATTACTCTGTAGGGGTATGCATTTGTACAAATCAATATTTTACAGTTCAGCTTGAATATAATTTTTCTTACTAAGTTAATTATACATTGTGTAATAATCAATATGTTACAGTTCTGATTGAATATAAATTGCTTTCAAATTAATGGATTAAGTAATTCTTGAAGAATTTAATAAATAGGCTCACTTTTCTAGATCAGTCAATGTTTATTTATTTATTTTTTTGTGTGTGTGTGTGTGCTCATGATTTTCACTAGTCTCTTTCTCAAATTGATTTCAGGGTTAATCCGAAAACACAACGCAAATGTACAGGTCTTATTGATATTAGTATATTACTGTTGTTTGAAAATTTTAAGTATTTGGTCAACTGAGTAGGAAACCTTTTAGGTACCTACCTTAAATTTTAAATCATAACAAAGTAGATAGAATACTTCCGCAGCAGTGGCTGTTTCACTGATTGTGCAGAGGAAAATAATGCTTTATTGTAAGGGTTGCAAGTAAACGTTCGGCTCAGAATTATAGCATGAACGATTGCCCCAATTTTGGCGGAATCTTCGTCAACTTTCAGAGTTCGATGATAAAGAATTTTCGCGGTCGACGTGATAACACGTAAGTTCCAAAATATCGATATTTACATACATTGAAAACATACTTCATTCCTTTCTGAAATTTTTTCTAACATATATACTTATCATATTTAAATTACAAAAATTTTAAATTATTAATATGTTTCTATTGTTCTATCATACTTGTTTCAGTGATGAACACAGCGTTTGGGAAAGGTGCAATGCAGTCCTCAACTGTCGCCAAAGGGTATCCTAAAAACGCAGTAGATGGCAATGAGGATACTTGCACGCTAACCAAAACTGAAACATCTCCGTTTTTGATTGTTAATCTACTAGAACCTTTCCGTGTACTAGTGGTAGAGTTGAAGTTTAGACGAACTTGCTGTGGTAAGTAAAACAATACTGTTAAATCTGTTGCGACATATTAAATTCTTTTCCTTAGGTAATCCTATTTTTAGACAAAAGATTTGGGTTCTTTCCCCTTAAAAATGTAGAGACATTAGTTTATTTCGAAGTAAGGGAGATATGAAATGAGCAATGCCCTCACCGGGACTCGAACCACGAACCTCTGGAATACGCGTTGAGCCCGCTAACCACTACACCACGAAGGCATCCTAAGAAGGCGGGAGAAATACCTCATATATTTCCCCTTTTAAAGGACGACTGGGAAGTAGGGTACCCAATCGCCAACTCCTGGTGGGGGAGATTCATCATCCACCAACTTTTTTAGTTCGGACGCCACTATAAAGACATTAATGCAGAATAGGATCAATGCACTATAGGATATTTTAATGCAGAAGACATGAAAAACGAGCTATACCCTTGACGGGAATCGAGCCACGAACCTCTCGAATGCGCGTCGAAGGTGCTGACCGCTACACTGCGAAGGCATGCTAAGAAGGATACTCCCCCTTTTAAAGGGCGACTGGGGATTAGGGAACACAGTCGCCAAATTCCGATGGTGGAGAATCATCTTCCACCACCTTTTATTGGTTCCGCCGTCACTGTAGATTCATTAGGTACTTTTGGAACAGAAAAGATGAAAAATGAGCAGTGCCCTCGCCGGGACTCGAACCACGGACTCTCGAATACACGTCGAGTTAGCTGACCACTACACCAAGAAGGCATGCTAAGAAGGCGGGAGAAATACCTTATAAAACTGTATGACGCATTTTAACTTCTTTCTTCCCTTTGTCTTTGGTTCGATTTTAACTGGCATTTCTCAAATTCTTTTTGTTTAGAATTTTCAAGTTATATTTTCTTTTCACTAACGTCCCGTTAGTAATCTCCACATCCTTGATTTTTTTTCTCTTCGTTCTGAACACCTTTGAATAAGAGGATTGTAATATTCCTACGTTCCGAGAAGTCTGACAAACAAGAAAAGCTTAATTTATAAGTCTGTTTCTGTTTGATGATATATACCAGTGCTGGCCAAACTTCCTGTCAGTAAGAGTCCTGAATTCAGGAATGTTTGAGAGCCGCATTTAGATTTTTTAATAGCCACAAGTTCATATTTACATCATTATACAAGTAGTGGAGGAGGTTTTAAATAGAAAGAAATCCATGAAAATTTTGTAAAATGAGTCTAAACTAATTAATTACTTCCTTTTGGACACTGAATAGTTTTAGTTTACCATATTTCATTCACATATTTTATATGCACGATCCGCACAAATTGCCTGCGAGAGCCATATCAGGCTTGCGAGCCGCCATTTTGGCCATCCCTGAGATATGCGATACTCTATCCAATATACTATCGAGAAAGGAAATCACAAACATAATTAACTTCCTCTCAACAAAAGGCACTGAGTTATGCAACACAGCATAAAATAGTATAACAAAAATATTCCCTGAGCAAGAAGTGAAACTGAAATAACGACGCATTTTCAAAAGTGCCACAAACATTTACGGTAAGAGGAAACTACATGCGACTACAGCAATCGAACAATATAGCTATCAATGAGACTTTAACATTGGAAACGTAATGAGAATGTTCTAATTTATTAATTCGAAAATTCTATTACAAGAACAGATGTGTACAAAAACCTCATAATTTCATGTAGAAGGTAACGTACTAATTGGATGTTGTAGAATGTAACCTCAAACATCTCATCTAATTGCAGAGTAAAACTGCAAATGTAACTAGAACTGTCATCCATAGCACATAAGTGCGAGAGGCACCAGCTGTGAAAACATCAATGAAAAAAATATAATCATTTCCTTTTCAAATTTTACAAACACCTGACCAAACAGTAGAGAAATCTAATATCCGCCACAAAACTCTTACGTGGGCCCCACACATTACATCTGTTATCCAAAAGTTTCGAGATCGTAAAGCTAAACTATATATACCCTTTAATTGCTCGAAACAGTGTTTCTCATTTATAAGTCCGTTCTCCGTCCATTACTATGTTATGCTAGTCCAGTTTGGGCCTATACCAAAAAGTGTAATATGAAAAAATTACAGACTTGCCAAAATTCTGTTCTTAGGCAAATAGTTAAAGTGGAGTGGTATATGCGCAACAAATATAATTCATGAAGAACTGAGTATGGAGCAACTACGCTCACATTATTATAAGTTTGCTAAAAACTTTCATGAAAGACAAAGAACAATTAACAACTCGACCAATAAGATTTGCAATTATGTCTACAATGACCTAGCAAATATGGACAGGCCCATGGCCCAACTGAATGTGTATATTATGTAATATTTATTATAATGCCTTTACGGTTTATGTTAGCCTTCTCTTATTGTATCTGCTAAGCATTCTTTTTAGTCTTACGTCCATAGTATTCATATCTTACTCATTGGATTCAAATTACCAGTTGTTCGCCTAACCTTGCTTTTACCCACACGCTCATTAGCTCGACGACTGGCCTGCTTTCATTTGACATTGCTTAACCCTTTAATTAGCAGTTCCTAACTGCTGGCTTAAATATGAATTCTAAATTATTAATTATTCACTTTAAAAACTTTTATTATAAAATCAAATTATTTTAGATATCTTTTAGGTTATTTCATCATACCATTCGCAATTTGCAAACTGTTGTACAAGGGGTTAAGCCTTGTTGCTCAGGTACACTGGTGTACCAAACACCGTTCCACGGAATAGAAGGGAAGGAGCAGAACCCGCGGTGTGGAACGCACCAAATAAACCACATTGCAAGCAACAGTTGGCGGGGCCTCTTGTGGGCCCTGTGGAGTGCAGTTGTCAGGAGACGTATGTCTTTTCACTTGTTTCGGGAATATACTGTATCCTGAATAAGAACAGTCAACTTACTAAAGCTGTGTTCCAGATTGTGTGGAATAGACGACACAAGCAGGAAGGATATACGAAACCCTTTATTCTCTATTACTTTACAGGTACTCCCAAACTTCGGGATACAGAGATCAACTACTTGTGGTCTGAACGTAAAACTGTAAAACCATTAACTAAAACTCTAAATAAAAGCTAACTTTGAATTAGTATACAAATGCCTAGCACTAAGACAGGCCTTTATTTAAAAGGGTACGTATGTAGTACGCCGAGCTGCTGAAACTACAATACGTTTTCAAATATCAAGAGGGCTAAACCTCTGGCCTTAGAGGCAAACAGAAATCGAGTGAAAACTCGTAAGACTGCAGTGCCAAGCGTCTCGCTTCCTAAATCTCCTTCTCTCTCTAACTCTTGGCAAAAAGCCACAACTTAAATACTTGGGCGTTAGCAAGACAATTTGCATAAACAAGTTAAAGCATTTAATTCTGGCCGGAAGTAGAAAATAAGAAGTGATAGTACAGTTTTAAAATAAAATAAACTTTAGTAAAACTTAGGATCCTTACATACTTCCCGCCAGAGTTAATTAGTTTGAAATTGAGGTCTAAAGGACCTTGTTGAAAACTTTTAGCTCTAGATTCTAAATCTAACGCGAGGCCAATCTTTTACAGACACTCCTCACTAAAAACTATCTAATCTAGAAATTAAAAAAGTCGTTTTTACATGATCAACTCCATGGACAATTACTTTTCATCTGTACTGCATCTACAAACAGGAGTTTTTCTTAGTTGAATCTGGTTCCTTCCAGAGATTTGGAAGGAAAACTAGTTTAATGAAATGTTAAACAATCAAATGGCAAGTAACATGAACACGTATATTTTTCTTTTAAAACTATTCTTATTTCATTCATGCCATTATTTAATTATCTCCCCGTGCTCGCCGACATGTGTTGTAAAGAGAAACACCAAACACGTGCGTGTCTATGTACAAAGGTTCAACACTACCACCTGCAATCAAAACACTAACGTGTTAAAATTCAACATAACAAGACCTTAGAATACACCTTAGATTCATCTCTGAACCCTGAGGTACTATTCTCAAGAAGTGGCTAACTCTGAAGTGTAGCGTCAAAGAACCTAACTACGTTTATTCAACCTTTAGCACATATTCACAATGCACATATTCACAACTCTTTTGTTTCAGTCATACCAACAAGTTAAAATTTTGGCATTACTACAATATTTTCATTTCTAACATATCACAATACTTCTTAACTTTTAAGATAACAGTTCACATTGTACATATTAACATGCCATTAATTTTACGCATTTCAAAACATACAACCCACTAACGGCCGAGCGGTAAAGTCGCTGAGCACTGGTAGTTCGGTCCGAGGTTCGAATCCTGCGAACGGGCTGGCTGCATGGGCGTTTTCGTGGTTTTCCCCGTGTGTGAAGTGTATACGAGCCAGTTTCCCCTAGAAAGTCTTTCCCGAAGGCATCCCTCCCCTTAGGCAGATAGCCCTCGTGTGCTTTGCCATAATTAAATACACCACCACCATTCAAAACATACATTAGTAGTACAATGTTTGTTAACTTCTGTTTCTTCAAAGCAAGTGTAAATTCTGTTACATACTACGTTTCAAAAGTCCTTCAGGCTAAAATTTCTTTTCTTGACAGAATTTTTTAAATAAAATTTTATACAATATTTTTACAATTTTCTAAGGTACCTTTCTCAAGATTATCAATGCTTTTACAATATTCAAGTATTTACACATTCCTATTATACAATAATTTTAGTTTACTCGCGAGTAATTAAAAAACATAGTAACAAAATAGGTAACAACTCATTTCTCGCCTTTTTGGCGATAAAGGTAGGCCTCACATGAGGTAAAACTTCTTGAAATTCTGCCACTTGCAGTAAGAATGAAAAATTAACTTAAGTTTCAAAGTAACATAAAGTTTTACTTATCTTTGTGATATTCAGACATCCTTTTTTCTGCCCAGTCCTGGAAAGGTAGCGAAGACTACTGTCTGGTTTATCCTCCTTCTTGTGCGGGTTCGCCCTTCAGTTTTTTCCTCCAGTGCGTTTTCCTTTTTTTTCCAGTTCGGTCACCCTTGAAAACCTTCTTTTAACTTCTG